AAAAAACCACGGAAACGATGTTTCATTTCGATGTAATTTTCAATTTGGCATGTGTTTCAGATCTATAGTTCAAGGGACAATTCTCAATGATGAGAGGCCCAATTGCATATCTATTCGACCAAATTATAGACGATTCTGTTGGTTTTTAGCAAATTTTCTGATTTTTTTAAATCTTACTTTGCTTGAAGTGGAACACCCTTCTCATGTAGCTTTTCGAATGTTTTGTAAAGATGATGGATTTAAAAATAATTTTGTCTTGTGTAGTATGAAACAAAAAGAAGTTTCAATGTATCCTCTGCCGACCGTCGAAACTCACAGGCCACTAGCTTTTGCCGTTGTCAAGTTATTAAGCATACATTCACCCTCTCCCCCCCCCCCCTTTTTATTCTGACATGGACATTAAATAATATGTGCTAAGACAATATCTGATCTTATAAACGTGCATATATACATATCTCTCGTGGCATTCTCAATTGACGATCGGAAAATAATTGCCGTTGAGTTTCCAATACTATGTTCATGCCAATCATTAAGCATTGTACAGTTTTTCTCTTTGATGAAGATTCAAAATGACATCATGCTATGCTTTATCTTAAGCATTTTGACGATTTTTTTTATTAGAGGCCTCGGTCTGTCAAGTTTAAAACGTAGGAAAAAAATCCAAATAGCTAGAGTTGTTAAATGTCTTATATTTGACTATTATATATGTCTAGTTTTATAAATACCATTGACGAACTGTTCGAGCATATAATATGATAAATTATGAGTGTTCGTGTTTGCGGAGCTCATCAATTGAAATCAAGTGTAAAAAACCATCAAACATCATTTTCCTTGTCCCCAATAAAATCTATGAGAAATGATTTTAATAAACTTTTTTTTTCAATAACTGCATTAATGTTGACACGATCTAGGTCAAGAAATATGAATCGTTGACATTGAGAAAATATCTAAAAACTCATAAAATTGAGAAACATCAGAAAACTTTCCCTTTCGAAGAACTAGTTTCAAAATTCAATCGATTATAGTAAAATTTCATTGTTTTGAAAGTTCGGAATCATCATCCTAAAAGAATTTTTTCTTCAACGAAAATGTATACATCGCATGTCGTATTCGCTCTGCCTTTTCAATATTTCTGCCAATTACATAGTCAATCTCTATTGAGATGAATACAGTTTAACTGAGATATGATCATATATTCTGGTTGAGTTCATGTTAGAATCGTTTGTAACAATTTATCATTCATTTGTACTTTGAAATAATATTATCGAGTACGATGTTCATTCTGTTCTCGAAACAAACCTACATTTTTTAATATCATTCTAACATACATGATAAATGATGAATTCCATTGCATTGATGATATGTTAAGAAAACTTTTTCATCGCGCAAAATTAGGTAAGCAATCGACCATCACTATGCATAAAACTATCGAAGAATATTTATTGATATTTCTATAAAATAGTAGACTAACAAAATTATACATTATTTCAATGTTCCATTGACTATTTTCCTTTCTGTGACACTTTTCATTGAGAATCAATATCATAATCTTGAGTTTGAAATATCTTTCGAATCATAAAATCGTATATGCAGATAATACCATACATCATACGCATCTGTCCGATGGAAGGATTCAAGAAAGCTCAACACTAGCCGATCGTGTTTTTCATGCATTCATTCTATTATTACAATCATGAGAGAAGATCATAAATGTCTATCGGAATGAAGTGCATGTCATGTTTATCATCTTTACACATTCGTGTACACTTTAATCGTATAAAAGAGAAATGTGGAAGAGCACAAATGCACATATCAGAGTTTCATCGAGGATCATAGTATGGAACAATACGTATACAGGAAAAGCCAAAGGTAAAAAAACTGAATTTCCTTCCCTATTGATGAAACAAACGAAAACATTCATTATTGCTGTCAAACATGTTGATCTGTTCGACGGATTATGTATTTACTTCTTTTTGGTGCCTCAAATAGCGTTATCAGAAACAAATTTAAAAAATCATTTCAGTTTTGCGACATCCAGTACACCATATTGAATGCGAATGGTAAGTTCTTATAATGATCATAACTTCAACGTGTTCATTGCCATCTTACCATCTATAGAATAACATGAGAAATCATTATAGATTAAGATTCAATTCATGGACGCGATACGTAAGTAAAGTTTTCACCAAATTCGACTATTTCTTGTCCCGATTCGCTTTCTTATCTGTGTTAACTCTCTAAGCGGTTGTGTTAAGTGTAGAATTTAATTCTCTATCGAATGGTATCATTTTTCAAGGGGAGTCATCAGGAAAAAACCAGAACTTTTCCCCGAAATACTTTTTTTCCCCTGTGCATCAATGACAAATATCCTGTATTTCTTCTTCGGATTCACTCTACGACCTGTGTTAACATTCTAATCAAGTGTGCTGGGTGTAGAATTTAATTTTCTATCCAATGGTACAATTTTCAAGGGATGTTATTGGGCAAAAAAGGGGGGGGGGAAGTTATACCCCAAATACTGGGTCCAGAACCAGACCTCGGGTGTAAACCTTGTCCGGATTCGCTATACGACTTGAGGGTGTGGGTGTGGAGTGTGGGTATGGGCTATTTTATTCAGCAACCATACCCACACCCACACCCTGATTTATATTTGTCACACATTCGTACATGGAATAACACGAGAAAAAAAATAATCGCACAATAAATTTATAATTTTTATATGAACTGGTCAAAAACCTCTTGTTAGACAACAATTAATTCGATTTTTGTGGACTTATTATAAAGATCCTATACAATGATAGTTACTTTAACTTTTATGAAAATCATTAACAACATCATGTAAAACGACAGTTAATTATAAGTAACTATCATTTATAAGATATGATTGGCAATGTTAAATAAAAAAAATAAATAAATTGAGCGAGTGTTTCCCGTTTCACTTACCGATATATGAGCAATATGACTTATACACTATTCTAAAGAAAAGAAAATTTCATATCATCTTATAAGAATAAAATATCCTTTTCAGAACCTATTTATCACAGAGATATAACGATCGATATTTTGTGAGATTATTTAATAGAAAAATTGTGGACTTAGTTTAAGGATACTTTTACTGTCTGTTGAAGCATTTCAGTTAAAAATGTGTAATTAGAACAAATTATATAAGATAACAACGAGAAAAAACTTTTCAAGCTTTTCATTATAAACAAAGTTTTCTTTCGGCATCTTTCTACTAAAGATAAATAGAGTTCGACATTTGTCTCATTTCTTTTATATCATATGTTTTATATATATATACATGTAAATCATTTACTGATTGGAAATGTTCAAAGATTGAAAACCGTCGAGTTTTCTTTGCAATCAATACACGCTGATAATCATCTTAATAAAACGATTGATTGATGAACTTTTTAATTTTTTTTTCTCCATTTTTTTAATGCTTTGGTCAGGTCTCACATTGACAATATAATATCAGTATTTTTAAATATTTACAATAGCATCTTTCATCATTACTAGTGTAACTGAATCAAAAATTTCTTGACAACCAATTGATGTTTGTCATTTTTTCTTCTCAATATCAAATACTCAATGATCATTGAAATAATAGAATTGAGGTGCACGTAGAACATCTAGAAACTTCGACGATTTCAGTGTCGGTTATAAAAGGTTTTTTTTACAAATTCAACGATGAAATTATATGTACAGTTTTACGATTGATTCAATGTGTCTTATGATTATTGCTCTATTTCAGATCAGAGACTGTTTCGTAGATTGGCTAATATGTTGTTGCACAGATTTGTCTATTTAATGAAATACGAATTGTGTAGATATTGATACTAATCTTCTATTTATAAAATTGAGAAACATGACAACCAGCTATTCGTATTTTGTCAAGGAAGATTAACAAAAGACCAAATGCATGCAGCTTTCATAGTTCGCTGTTCAAATCGCACAATGCCTAAGTTTAACTCATCGATACAACATAGAATGTTTTTTTTAGAACAACATTATTTACTGAAGATTCTTCCAGATGTTGCCGACTTTCAGTATAATATCGTGATTGTAACTGGAAGAGTTTCTTTACAGACAAAATGTCAAATTCAAATTCAGCAACTTTGAACTAAATACTATATTTTCTGGTTCATATTTCACCAACATTTTTGCTTAAATTAAGTATATGAATACAATCCTATTCGTTAAGAAGCTTCTCAAATAGTGCATTCAAATCATTTGCATTAGTTTAAAAAAAATAGTCATATTATTTGTTGTTCATACTGCGTAATTATCAACGTGGATCGAACTTGAAACGTGATTTTTCTTAGCTAGTTAAAAATATTTCTTTTTACTCTAAATAATTACCACTTCTTAATTGGTAGAATGTGTCATATAGCAGCAAGAATATCACGTAACCATGGAGTTGTCACTTTTACTGAACATATAAATTCAGACTTTGACTGCTACATATACTTTTCTTATACCGAAAAACGTTTTTAGAGTCATCTATTGTTTGATGTGTACATGATAAGAAATAGAGCAATGTGTTTTTTTTTCTCAAATCTTTTCAATTGAATTTACTATTTTCGAAGAAAAGAAGGCATTAGTTTATTAAGCTGATTTTTTCAGATTATGAGTGCATGACTATTTGAATTTTCTGATTGTTAGCGTCAGTGATAGATCACACTGATGCTAAACGAAGATTAAGATGTTCCTTCTAGTCTAACTTTGAAAATCCTAGAATATCTATTTCAGTTAAGTACTGAAGAAAGTCAAACTTAAATTGAACGTCCTTACGAAGCTGTTCGAGTTTTTAACAGGTAAAATAGAATAAGCCGTATATTCATTACCTGTTGTACTCGATGGCTTGGTAAAGTTTTATTCAATTATAAAATCTCTTCTCTTTCAGATCTTTCAATTCGGTTGATTTTTAAAAAAAGTTAATAGATGTTAGCAATGAACAATATTGAAATATTTTTTTTATTGATTCAATTTTAAAAAAATTACAATCGAAGAGTAATGTATCCATAATATTTTCGTGTCACGATCGTTGTCGGTGGTGCATAATGTCGTATCAAGTTAACAACATCAGGTCGATGACTTCGTGAATCATGAAAATATGTAATATATAGTGTTCGAAGATTCTCCATCATATATACAAGTTCAAGTATGTTCGGTACATCTGTTACTTCAATTCGAAGTTCTTGGCATTTAATACCTAGGGGTGACTTGCTCAACGTTTTACACTGTTGAATATTGAAACAGTGAGGACGATGGAATTCATTAACTCCTTGTAGATCAAGATAACGAACTGATGGACACTTAATATCGAATGGAGGCATTTCTTCTGTGGACCACCATGATCGAAACTTCAATGACAACAAACGAGGCATTTTGTCGAGTAACGATTGCAATTGAAATGGATAATGATCCAAATGTGATAATGTGAGTGATAATAAATGATCAAAGTTTGAGACGATTGATAAAACTTTATAATCAAACGGTAGTTCAAGTTCAAGATCTTCCATATGATTAAATTGTAGACAAGAAAATTCTGTGTTTGTAAACAGCGAAGAATTGTACCATAGACAACGGACACGTTCATAGGAAAATTTGATACGAGACGGACAGGTCGACTTAGTGCGATACTCTACTTGAGGAACATTTTGTGGAACCTGTTCAAAAGAAAATGGTAAGGAATATAAACAAATAAATCTGCTACCGAGGTATTCTGTCCAAGGGCATCCAATAAACCACTGATGCTCTTGAATCCAAAATGGGCTACGATATGCGTCTAGTAGTTCATCGATTTGCTTTTCCTTGTTTGTATTATCATTAAGACTGAACAATATATTTAAGCGAAATGTTCTTAGTTTTGGTAAGTATTTGACAATAATTTCTTTCCATTCATATCCATTAATATAAAATGTCCATGCTCGAATATTTAAATAGTATACATTTGGCATCATACACAGAAGATTCACCAATATATTTCGGGACCAAACATTATTTAATTTAAGCTTTTTCATTGGTAAGTTTCTTAATGATGGTAACTTTTTATTTTCATTATCATTATTGAAATTAGAAGTAAAAGCGCTGAACGTTGTTGAAAAATATTGAAGATAAGGTGTCTTCATCATCAAACAAGTTAATTGTTCAGATTTTCATTTAGGATTTCTAATATGTTAAATGTTGTAGCGATGATGAAACAACTGTAGGAAGAAAAAAATAGTCTTCACCATTCGGTTTCACGTCCCAATAACAATAGATTAACTTGAGCAGACTCCAAATTTGATTGATTATTTGTCTTGTTCTTTTAACATCACCTTAATTCAAATCACAATCAACACGTTTCAGATGTGAAAGATGATGAAGTTGCTGTATGCCAAGAGAAAAAAATTCATCATGTTTTTGACGCATTTCAATTCGAAATAATGTTAAAGCTTTTAATGATGTAAACTGACCAAGACTAATATTATAATTAAAAAAATCAGCTGCTTGTCCCGGTGTACCATCATCGTCGGACAGATGAAGAGAAATAACTTTATCAGAAATTAATGAAATATAATTCTGGCAAACGATTTTTAACGCTTGTCTTGATAATGAACGAAAATCAAAACGATAATTTCGAAAATGGATAAGAATAAGATTATTGAAGTGAGAATTCAAATTGTAAAAGCCACGAAATAAATCCAATGGAGTAATAAATTCAAACAGATAGAGTAATAACTCATTTGCAAGTACTTCAAGATTCATCTAGAAAAAGTAACAGTAGAATAATGTATTATTCAATTAAATTTCTGTTTCCATTTTTTGTTCAAAAGATGTTATATCCAATTTGTGTTTTTTTCCCAATACTTTCGAAAAATAATTGTTTGATGTTTTGATTCTCTTTAAAATTGAATCAATAAGAAGTTTTATTGACCGATTTTTCTATATACGCTCATCACTCTTTTCAATTGCTACCTAAAATATTTAACTCTCGTTCTACAGATATCACATTTTTCAGAACCAATATAGTCATAAAACTGAGGATAAATATTCCATAAAATGACAATAGAGAAAATTCTCTTTCTATGAAACCTGTAGAAATTGTTTTCATCTTCAAGAATGTCTTGTTTTCCATAGATTCTTAGTTTTAGTCCTGAGAATTTTTTGAAAAAAACGACAACCGATGTTATATGTCACAAGACATTCGATGTAACTTTTCTTCATCTTAGAATAATTCAAAGTTTCTCAAACTATCATACGTATATATAGAACGAGCAACCATCGGACGTCCGATAGACAGAATTTGCTTTTCAATTCTGGTTTATAATCACTGAGTAGTAATACAATTTCGAAACTTGATCTTTTTTATATTAATAATATCATATGAATATTAATTATTACTCTATTGTTTTAATTTATTTTCAAAAGAGACCAGAATTTTCTAATGTAAAAAAAAGCAAAGGATCACTCGTTCATGCATGTGAGGTTTTCATTCATTTAACATTTAAAAGTCATCCTTTGCATTTTTTCTTCGAAGGAAACTTTTGTATGCTTAGTGGATGAATTAAAATACAAGAATAATTTCTATCAAAAGATAAAATTTGGTTATTGATATCTATATGATAACGAATGAAGCAACTACTAGTGTCTCCGAAACCCAGTAAAAAATGATCCGATTTCTGTTGTCAATAGATGTTCTATGAATATCGGTCATGTTAAATTGACTCGAAGTACAATCTCAATTTATCGAGTAATTTCAATATATTTCTTGAATATTTGAGGAAAAAAATCGATATTATATTTACAGAAAACAATATTTATAATTTATTTAAATGCTCGCAAAACCGAATATTTCTGTGTCATCAGCATAAAAATAAACGTAAAACGAAGCTATTTTCTATATTACTTACTTCATTCATATGAATAAAACGATTCAATTATCTAATGTCTTGTTGTAGAATAATGCATTAATTGATAAAATTTAAAATTCTTCTGTAGTTGAAATTATGTATAATAATTTCTGTGTGAAAGTATTGATAGACCGAATATCGAACTAAAAGTGGATATACGAACACTAATGCTCAATTAGAATGAGAAAGGCTATCTTGAGACAAAAGGAAAATCGAATAATTCAATCAAAAAATGAATATTCCTTGTTGTTTGAGATGAGCATGAAGAGAAAGAACATTAATACCATTAGTCAATATAATCTCATATAGAATCTCATATCTTATAAAAAGAAAAAGTTTACTTAATCTGTATTAAATAAAAGAATGAACACAAATAATTATTTACAGATAGTTTGAACTTGATAGATGACTCTTATCATCTTGTTTCTTCGTTATATGAAGTACAAATATACATTCGTCTGTCGGAATTCATCGAAAAAAGAGAAAGTATTTTCTTTTGTTTAATTTCAGTTCCAAAACGAGTGTACATGACATACTCTTGTATGATTCTTTTTGTTTTTGAATAACTTACAAATCAGTTTTCTAGTACTACAACTGAACATGATAATTAATATTTTCACTTGAGCTATAGTACAATGTGTTCGGTCAAATTCTTAAAGTTCAATATTATCTGATAAAACAAAATGTATTTTAACTAGTTCAGCCTTTTGATTTGTTGTATGAATTAAATAGAAAGTGTTTTTTATTTCTTCACTCTTTGTATATAAACATTGTACCAAGTATTTATTTGTTTACATGAACGTATACATTCAATCAAACATCTTAATGGTTTGGAACATCATAGGATATGGATGTGGGTGCAAAAGAAAATAAGACCCACATTCACTCACAGTTTCTTATTTTTTAAGTGGAAGAACAGAGATGAAAATTTCAATGCCTTGAAAAACTCTCAAACATGGCGCTCAAATGATAAAAGTGCTCTTTTATATATTAGAAACAATGCTTAATTCACAAAATAAAAGGAAAAGCAATTGACTATAATGAAGCTCCTTCAAGATTTTTAGGATGCGCGGTTATAAAATCATAAACAGAGAAAAAAACGAAAAAGATTTTCTGCTTTTTTCTGAAAATACTATTTTTGGAGTAGATAATGACAAAAGTCATCAAAACTTTTGGAAACAAGGAGATGACGAATAAAAACAAATTGACTTTATTGAAGGAAGAAGAGCTTAATTTTGCTTCTCGATCTTTCAAGCAGAGTAGGTTCATTTTGAATGGCTTGAATATATGCTATTATTTATTAATTAATACAATCGATATAACAAACTGTATGACATCTTCGTTTAAGGCTTGCTGAGAGTCAGATACTTTCGATAAATTCATTAGAAATATTATCATGCATAACAGATCATCGTTGTAAATAAGTTTATTAATAGAAAGATGATAAGTGAATTGATTAAGATCTATTCTGTTCGTCATTTCTTTATGAATAAGCCTAGAAAAAAAAATTCATATTGTTTCATCATTCGTATAAATCGACTTTCTATCTAGTCTAGTGAACTTTTGAAATGACTCCAGCGGGAACAAAACTGGAAAAATTAGCTTGTCTTGAATATTTGATGCAAATGTATTGTATTTTCAACAAATCACTAGAATAATGCACTTTATGGTGAGATCTCTAATCGTATTTATCAAAGTTGGATGACGCACAGAAAACAAATAATCTCATAATGAAGAAAGACTATCAATTTAAAATTTGTGCTTTCTAAGAAATAAGTGCTTATTTCAAGTGAAGATTTTCTACTCTTAGAAACAGATGTATGGAGTCATTGTGTACGAGATCAATTCAAATCCTATTTGCGATTTCATTTTGTTGAATTCGAATCCGGAGTTGAAAAAACTTGTCCCATCGCATCTTTCTTCATTGAAAAATACGATTATCACAGACCTATTTATGATGAGATACGACCCACTCACGACGCCATGCTTTTTCCTAACTAAAGATTCAGTAATACGGTCGTATGTATGATAGAATATGGCGGCATGATTGTACCTCTACGGTGTTTTATACAGTCAGTAATATTGGGCGTGTTATAACGATACATTACGACATAACAACAACCGTTTATAATAATGTTACAGTAGCTTACGATGATTTGTAATGATTTAGCATTGTTGTGAATAAATGACTTTCTTCTCTCTCTACTTACCCGTCTTTTGCCAAAAATATTAGGACATTGGAATAATTGAAAAAACGACATCTTGACATGCCTGCGACAAAATCTATGGTTTCAGATGATGTTGTATCAATAGTGCTTCTCAATCGTACAATGTGTATGATAAAACGGTTCAATTTGCTCACTTCTATATAGTAAGTATTATATGTTATCATGATCTATTCGTCATTGGGATTGCGAATTCTACTGGACCCGCGAGGATAAAACACGGAATGAAATTTGATTGATTCATAAGAACAAGAATAAGACTCATCGACAGATGCATGTATCATGTAAATATAACTTACCTTTATTCTCTTTTTGTCAAGCTTTCATGCATAGAGGTAACAAAAAATAAATGTTTGAAGTAAATAAAACAACTTACTATTTGTCAGGCAGAGTCAAAACATGCTTAATGATGGTAAATGATCGCGTCATACACGATAGTTTTATTCAACTTGAGAGGTGCATTATATTCTCACTAAGTTCACATTCATCTACGCCACATCCAATCTCAATCAGCAAGAATAAGGTACGCCAAATTCACTGAACTCCTATTCATTTATGGTCTTTAACGATATGTTACTTGATGAAATTCGTCAATCAATCACAAATAACATCTGACTGATTATCTCTATGCTTAATACCGAAAACAAATTCTGTAAAGGTCAACGCTGAGTTGAACAAACTCGAAATAGTTTCTCTTTCAAATTACGACATGTTTGATATCTAGCCGTGTAGTTCTAAGTTATGAGTACCGCATTGTTTACTTTAGTAGAACTAGATTACTGTACATTCAATGAATTTTTCTCTGATAAGATCGGCAGTTCTAAGTTTAAAAAAGAGTATGTTTTTATTTTGTTTTTGAATGTATGAACCACAAAGTATCAGATGAATTTATGTACAACTGTGATACCTGCAAAATCAATTACATTATGCATAGGAACTGAATTAAAAATCCAGAGGAAAAATTTCGCAACTGAATTTAAAGCCATTTATTAACTGAAATATGTGAATGGTTAATATGATTCAATATTTGTACGAATTTTACGAAATCTCATTTCTGACTTCATTATCTTCGTACCATCTGAAGCGTCTGGATTTTACAGTTGAATATGGCTCAAAACTTTTTTAAAATCTAAAAGATATTCAGCACTGCCCATGTATGAACATGAAAAACAAAATAGACCCAGTTAATGTTGCATCTGAGCTGTGTCTGAAGATGTGGGTCGCTTGAGTTTTTGACATGTCTACAACCAGATAAATGTTTACAATAAGTATTACAGTCTATGGGATACATGAAAATAGACCGTCTCGATATCGATGGGAGATAGAGAGATAATAAAAGTACATGAGAACGATGTTGGCGAAAGTCATTTAAGCGCGCATAAAGATGATATGAGATCTCAACGAGTATTTTCTCTATTTACTTTCCATAATTTGTGTTTACATAAAATTCAAATGTAATTTAGCATTTTAGTGAGAATTAAGATATCGAAGATTCAATTTATGTATCATAACATGGCATACTGCAGTCGAGTAAGTCTCAATGCGTTCATTTCTCGTTTATTCTGTTTAGAAAATCGTACACAATTTTCCTTTCAATAAATCTGATAACACCATCATACAAGCATAGTAT